ATTGTACATGTGAGGATTGCTGCACTGGCGGATGTTTTGTTACCTGCAGATTTTACACACACACACACACACACACACACACACACACACACACACGATTAGTAAGACCACATCTCCTGGAGCCTTTGCAAAGCAAAGCAACCAGGAGAGCTACTGGTCAGGCTCCCCACTTTCTTCCACAATCAGGGTGGCTGGAAACAGGAGATGTGCAGTCCCTCTAGTCCCTGATGAGGCAATGGCCATGCGCTTCACCGCTAACCCAAAGGCTGATGTTTGAACCTCTCCATGGCTCTGAGGGAGAGAAGATTGCAGCCTAGGGCACCTGTGGGAATGGACTCAATGGCATAGAACAGAGCAGTCTCCACGACTCCCACAGCCCCGTAACACTCTCCAGATAGGATCTTCGAGTGTATATAGCTTCTTAAATCCTGGTCAGCAGGTCTGATCCTCAACTGCAATGACTTTAACTTGAAAGTGTCATTCAAATGTTGACCATTGGTTAAAACATGAACATTCTCTTTGTAAGACCTAAGAGTAGACCTTCTGTGAAAGATGTCTGTTGAAAGATCACTGATCTTCAAAATCGTAGCTTATCACAGTTTGTGGGCCAGCCTTCTCATAAATGCCCCATACATTGTTATGAATCGAACGGGGGCAGCATTCGGTATGGGCCAGTGGGCTGGCTGCCATAACAGATACTTAAAACCTGAAAATGGTTGGAGGGTTGGGCCATGAATAGAATCGAGGGGATTTTGGCATGCCTAATTAGCCTGGAAGAGCCTCTTAGCAGATATGAGGACATTCAGGGCAATTCTGATGACGGCTCAGAAAGAAATGAGAGCGGGCATGAGAACGTCTCTTGTCAGGACCAGAAAGCTGATAGAAATGTGGACATGAAATGCTCTCTCTGCTGGTGTCTTCCGTAGATGAATATAGTTCAACTGAGGAATTGGGTTTTCTTTGTTAGATGTTTGGGGGCCTACCAGTGTAGGGTATATCTTAAGCCAATCACTGTTGAGCTAAGAAGGGAGCAGATTAGGCACAGAAGCAAAACCAGAAAAGCCAAACTCACCCCCATCAAGTCGATGCCGACTTGTAGCCACGCTATAGGACAGGGTAGACGTGCCCCTGTGACTTTCTGAGACTCCCTCTCCCAGGGAGAAAGACTGGGCTTTCTGCTCCTGCAAAGAGTTAGTCTCAGAAACTCGCAGGGGTAATTCTACTCTGTCCAAGAGGGTCGCTATGATTCAGCATCAACT